CCTGACACCTCATAGACTTCCTCCCTCCCTGACCTCAGCCCTGCCCTGTCTCCCCAAACCACTGGTCCTTCTGGGTCACCCACCACCCCCAGTAAACATCAGAGCCATCCTTGTGTGCTTGTGTTTTTCTCCGGTACCTCAGAACTTGGAGGGGGGTGGGCATGTTAGCGGCACAATAGTAACTTCTGGGAACTGGTTCATGGTGGGGAAAAGGTCCAGAGGTTGGCCCAGCTGGCTCAAGACAGCGTGAACATCAGGGAGTGATCATGAACAGCACCCCAAACAGGTGGGATTGGGATAACTCCCTCACATGGCCAGCCGCTGGCCTCAGTTTACCCACTGCCTTCCCAACCTTCACGGCCAGGAGGGCGAAAAAAAAACTACACAAGGGTGATGGGCAGCTGGAGCTTCCCAGCCCTGGCATCCGGGAGAGATGAAAGGGGTTGGGGGTTTTCCTGGGGGGGTGGGGACGGCCCCTCCTGGTGTGGGGTTCCCTGCCCTGGGTGGGGAGACAGTGGACCAGGCTGTGCCAGGACGCAGGGACACCCCCGCTGTCCTCGGTCCCCACGTGCTGGGACTTGGGTTTCCCCATTGGCCAGAACACGGGGCCGGCTACCTTCGGAGGCACATTCCAGACGCCGCTGCCCACGCGCGTGATGCCACCGGCTGGGAATGTTTTCAAACACAGCAGCAGCCCCGCACCCCGCCCTGACCCACACCCCGGGGTGCCCCGGGGACCTTGACCTCACCCTGACTCACACCTGGGCTTGCCTTCCTGGCCTCAGGGGCTGAACCTGCTGCTCTCCCCCCCCCCACCCCCCGCACTCCGCCCCAAGACCTGGAGGCACCCCCCCTCCTGCCCCGTGCCTGCCCTGCTGTGCCCGGAAGCCAGGCTGGCAGCCAAGCCTGAGAGTCTGAATCTCTGTTTCCACTTCTGGGGGTGAGGGGGAAGAAGAGAAGCTGGCACGGGAGGATGTAGAATCAGAACATCCGGGCAGTGTTCCCATTTCCCAGCGACCCAGGCACTGGGGGGCTGTGACCGACCAACCCACCCTCCCTTCCTCTCCCCTCTCTCCCTCCCTTCTTTCCTTCCTTGCTTCCTTCCTTCCTTTTTCCCTCCCTTCCTCCTTTCCTTCCTTCTCTCCATCGTTCCTTAATTTTCCTTTTAAGTTTCTGGATCACACCCAGTGATGCTCAGGGATCACTCCGGGCTCAGGACTAGGGGTCACTCCTGGTGGTGCTTGGGGCACCCTATGGGATGCCAGGGATCAAACCTAGGTCGGGCGCATACAAGGCAGATGCCCTCCCTGCTGTATAATCACTCCAGCATCTTCTTTTCTTCCTTCCTTCCTTCCTTCCTTCCTTCCTTCCTTCCTTCCTTCCTTCCTCCTCCCTTTCTTCTTTCCTTTCCTTCTCTCCCTTTCCTCCCTCCGTCCTTCCTTTCCTCTCTTTCCTTTCTTCCTCCTTCCCTCTTTCTCTTCCTTCCCTCTCATCCCCCCTTTTTTCCTTCCTTCCTTCCTTCTTTCCTTCCTTCCTTCCTTCCTTTCTTCCTTCCTCCTTTCCCTCCTCCTTCCTTCCTCCCTCCCTCACTCTCTCCTTACTCTTTCTCCTCTCCTTTCATTCCTTCCTTCTTCCTTGACTCCTTGTTTTGGACCCCGACTGGCAGTGCTCAGGAACTAGTCCTGGCAAGTGCTCAGGATTCCATCCGAACAGTGCTCAGAGGACCATGTAATTCAATGTCCCTCCCTTGAGCAGTGCCACATCGTTGGGCCCAAGCATCGAACTGGATGAGCTGGTGGGCCAAGGAGTGCTGGAAATGGTTCTTGGATACCTTGAGTACTGCTTGGAAGGGGCGCCCACAAAAAATAAAGCAAAAACAACTTTTTTTTTCTTTTTGAGTTACACCTAGTGATGCTCAGGGGTCCCTCCTGGCTCTGTACTCAGGAATTTCTCCTGGTAGTGCTCAGGGAATCTGTGAGATGCTGGGCATCCAACTCGGGTCAGACATGTGGAAGACAAACGCTCTCCCTGCTGTACTATCGCTCTGACCCCAAGAACAACTTTAATTTTTTATTTTTTATTTTTATTTTTTTTTTGCTTTTTGGGTCACACCCGGCAATGCACAGGGGTTCCTCCTGGCTCTGCGCTCAGGAATTACCCCTGGCGGTGCTCAGGGGACCATATGGGATGCTGGGAATCGAACCCGGGTTGGCTGCGTGCAAGGCAAACGCCCTACCCTCTGTACTATTGCTCCAGCCCCCCCAAGAACAACTTTAATGGCATGTGAGATGTGTGGAGACAGATGAACGGAGATGAGGAATAGGGTACGGAGGGGCTGGAGTTTGGGCACCCCTGCTTTACAGAAATGGGGTCCTGCTGATGTAAGCAGCACAGGGAGGGGGAGGAAGGAAGGAAGGAAGGAAGGAAGGAAGGAAGGAAGGAAGGAAGATGCTGGCAGGAATTGGCTTTACATCCTCACAGCCATTGTGGAAATCCATCAATATGTATTTTCAAATGTTACGTGGGGCAGGTCAGAGGGACAGCACAGGGCTAAGGTGCTTGTCTTTCATGCTTTCAATCCAGTTCAAATCCCTCGCTCCACATCTGGTCAGCTGAGCACCGCCAGTCATCATCCCTAAACATAGAGACAGAAATAATTCCCTAAGTACCAGTGGGTGTGGCCCAAAGCTAAAAAAAAAAAAAGTTAGGGACTGGAGCAATGGTACAGCAGATAGGGTACTTGTCTAGTTTCCAACCAACCCAAGTTTAATCCTTGGTACCACATAGGATACCCCAAACCTTCCCCTGGAAGTCAGTCCTGAGGATAGCTGAGTGTTCTCCCTTTTCCCACCAAAACGATTTTAAATGAGGAGGGGAACAGGAAAACGGCTGTAAGGTGCAGAGCACAGGATTTGCCTGCAGGAAGCCTGGGATTAATCCCTGATCCTGCATGATTCCATGAGCACTGCTAGGACTGAGCACATAGCAGGAGGGAGCCCCCAAACACCACCAGCTATGACCTCCACACACCAAAAAAAATAATAATAATAAAAGCCCAAACACCAAAACTTGAATAGCGGCTGTAGAAATAGTGCAGAGATATCAAGGCAGTTGCCTTGCACATGGTCAGTTCGGGTGCCATCCCTAGCACCCCATACGATACCCCCCAAGGGCCACAAGGAGTGATTCCTGAGGATACAGAACCAGAACTCACTCTGAATACCGTCAGATGTGCCCCTCCAAAAAAATAAGAAAACCTAAACAAGGTAAAAAGACACACATCTATCCCCCACCTGTTGGTCTGCAATGCCAGGAAAGAGAAGCAAGTCTGAACCCCTCACCGTGGACCCCAGGATGCTCAGGGAGAGAACAGTCTCCCTAATGCCCTTTAGAGGGGATTTCGATGGATCTGAATGTCCAAAACAGGCTCCTCCACAGACAAGAAGCGGGATCGGACAGGGGACTACAGCCAGAGCTTCCCTTGGCAGGATGGAAAGTTCTAGAACTCCGTCAAAGCCATGGTGGTCCTGAGACTCGTTTCCTGAGAATGCCCCCTTAGACTCTATAAGTGGCTGTGTGGCGTGTGACCTGGGTGGCAGGGATTGTTAGTAAACAAACTCGAACACACAGTCGTGCCAGTTCTCAGGTGGGGCTCCCGCACCCCCTAACATCTCCCGGGGGTGGGGTGGAGACACACGGAAGGGAAGACCCGAGTTTCTGGCTGGCCCAGGGGCAGGTATTACCGGGCGCCTGGGCGCCGCACCCCGGGCTCCGTGAGGTCGGGAATGACTCCCCGGTGCAGACGAAGAGCTAGAGTTTGGGGTGACAGGCGTCTCATACACGGAATCCCTCAGGTGTTGTGTCGTGGTTCCAATCTGTCACAGCCGGGTGACTCCAGCTCCACCCCAAATGCCTCCCAGCCTCTCTGCCCAGTCCAGGCTGCGGCTTGTAGGGTGCCTCTCATTGGCATGGCGTTGTGGCTGTAAGGATGCCAGTTCTAGGTGCAACCGGGGTCACCTCATTGCGGCTGTAGCTGGGGTGCTGGCCCAGGTCATCGTCAGTGTTTTTGTGCCCTAATCGGGGACAGAGCATGTGTCGATCTTCCCACGAGCTGCCAGCTTGTCTACAGCAACCCCCTAGACACCGAGCTAGCAGCTTAGCCCCCTATGTGCGTGCTTTCCTTCAATATTCACCTGGGCATGCTCAGGTTCTGGTTCTAAGAGTCCGATGGACCCCTCAGACCTAGACATCCACTCCAACCTGACCCCGTAGCTCCTTGCCTGTCTGTTTCTGCTCTCTCTGTCTCCCCCACCACACACACACACACACACACACACACACACACACACACACACACACACACACACACTGTCTCTATGTCTGTGTCTGGGTCCTATCTTGTGTCTATTTCTGTTGGTCTGTTTCTCTTTTGCTTTTTTGTTTTGGGGCAACTCCCAGCTGTGGTGCTCTGGTCAGACTCTTGGCTTCGGGTTTAGGGAATCCTCCTAGCAGGGCTGGGGGACCCGGCTATGGGTTGCCGGGGGTCTGCCAGGCAAGCTTCGTTCCCACTGTACTATCTCTCTGGCCGTTTGTCTTTTTCTCTCTTTTCTGCCTCACTTTGTTCCCTGTCTCCTTTTCTGTGGTCTCTGCCTCTGTCTCCCTCGTGTCTATAGCAGGCTCTCACCCTCACACCTCCCTACAGCCCCCACAGAACAACCCGGTGACTCACCGACACGCCCCGCAAGACAAACAAACGCGCGTGGAGCCCAGAGCCTGTTTAGGGAAACGGGCCCCGCCCCTGCGGCCCCATCGCTCCGCCCCCCAGCTCCGATCACGCCCCCAGCAGCTCCGGCCACGCCCCCAAGGCGCTCCATTGGTCTCCTCCCCGGCCATTCCCCGCCCATTGAGCCTCTGTCCCCGCCCCCAAAGCTCCCTATTGGCCCGCGCGGGCGCCCAGCCTAGACCGCGCGAAGGCAGAGCCGCTGACCCTCGCGCGGAGAAGGCAAAGTGTGGGAGGAGAGCGGGGGCCACGGGCCATGCGCCGCCGCCTGTGGCTGGGTCTGGTGTGGCTGCTGCTGGCCCGGCCGCCCAGCTCTGCGGGGACCCCCAGCGGGCCGAGGAGACCGCGCAGCTACCCACACCTGGAGGGCGACGTGCGCTGGCGGCGTCTCTTCTCGTCCACGCATTTCTTCCTGCGCGTGGACCCCAGTGGCCACGTGCAAGGCACCCGCTGGCGTCACAGCCCGGACAGTGAGTACGCCGAGGGCGGCAGCTGGGTAGTCAGTTCTACGGCGGCAGGGAGACGAACCCGTCTCTCCCCCCAGGGAGGAAGAGTGAGGCTTCCCCCATCTGGAGTCTCAGTTTCCCCCGTTGTACATGCCAGTCCAGGGGGCCAGAGCGATAGTACAGCGGGGAGGGCGCTTGCCTTGCATGCAGCCTGCCTGGATTCGCACCCCCGGCTCCCACCCGCATCTGTATCTGGTCCCCAGAGCATCACCAGGAGTGATCCCTGAGCCCAGAGCCAGGAGTAAACCCTGAGCATCACCAGGTGTGGCCCCAAAAGTTGTCAGCCCACCGTGGGGTGAGGATCACAAGATGAGGTGATGGCTCCGCAGCAGTCAGGATTATGGTATAATCCTGACTTGGAGGAGGTCACTGGGCATGTGCTGAAGATCTGGGAAGGGACTGGCCAGCTATTACATAAGAAGGAGCTGGACTAGTGCCTGGTTTCTGAGTTCCCTCCACAGCCCCAATGGCTTGAGCTGGGCACCATTTATTTCTTCCTAGCTGCCCATTGGGCAGATGAGGAAATAGAGGCACACTGAGCTGGCTGACCTGCCCAGGGCCACCCTGTCAGGGTTTTGGTGGCGCTCGATGATGTCCAGAACATCAAAGCTCTGGTGTGTCTAGTCTTGTCACCTTGCCCAGCAAACAGTAGGCTCTCAATACAATGCTCATGTCATGTATTAGGGAAGGGGCACAGGAGCGAGCGAGTGGTTGCTGGGAAACCAAAGGTGTTGGGGAGACCTCACGGGCAGTCTCCCCAGCACCACTGACCGGCCACCGCCTGAATCACTGCCATTAGGACATAATCACCCCAACCCTCCCGTGCTTTCATCTGAAGCGCCCAAGCTCTCATTAGGTCCCTGAGACAAGGACAATGAATGACAGGCAACTGGCCGGGCCGGTCCATCGGTGAGGGCCCTGGCCAGGCAGAGTGGCCTCGGGTGCGGGTGAAGCCTGGATGTCACTGGTGACTTGGGACAGTCACTGCTGCTCGGAGACCAGGCTCTCCTGTCTGGCCACCGGTGGGATGACAATGGTGGATGGTGATGGGGGTGGGCTGGGCCCCCCCCCACTGTGCATCTGGTGGCTGTGAATGAGGCTGGAGTGATATGCTGTACAAGGGGGACCCCGGGGGGGTCTGCCCTTCTGGAGCTCCTAGGCAGAGGAGAAAGGGAAATCTTTTTTTTTTTTTTTTTTTTTTTGCTTTTTGGGTCACACCCAGCGATGCACAGGGGTTACTCCTGGTTCATGCACTCAGGAATTACTCCTGGCGGTGCTCAGGGGACCATATGGGATGCTGGGAATTGAACCCCGGTCAGGCTGCGTGCAAGGCAAACACCCTACCCCCTATGCTATCATTCCATCCCCCAAGAAAGGGAAATGTTAGAGTGAGCAAGAATCAGGATGCCAAGGGCTGGAGGGAACAAGACAGCTGTGTCATGTCTTGCACGCGTCTGATCCAGGTTTGATCCCAAGCACCTCAGAGGGTCCACAAAGATCACCAGGAGTGATCCTGGAACAAAAAGCCCCGAGCACTGTTGGGTGTGGCCAAAATTAAAAAAAAATATATATATGTCAGAGGGGTTCCTGAAGGGGTTAGGGGCTGAGTTAGGGACCCCACCCAGGAAGTGGGCTTGGGCAGATCTCAACTGAGCATCTGGCTGAATAAATAATGATACAATACACACCAGGGCATGGAGTGAGACTCCCATCCCCTCAGGCATCCAACTCCAAATTTAAGACAGGCTGACCTTCAGGCCACCCCCACTATCCCCATTTTCTGGAGAGAAAAAAACATGGGCTCAGTACTCGAGGGAGGATGGAGCCAAAAGCTGGCTTCTATGCCCCAGACCTCAGTTTCCCCTCTGGGAAATGGGCACATCTAGCTCTTCGCAACTGGAGCTGCAGGGTAGAGCTGCTTGTACAGTGTTCGCAGCTCCTGTTAGCAGGCATAGTGTCGGGGGAGACTCTGTGGTCTGCATGTTTTGCACCTCCAGACCAGCCCCTTGGACTGAGCTTCTCACACCCAGTGCGGGGCATGGGATGTGGGAGTGGGGAGCTTGGCACCAAACACAGCCTGGAGAATGAGGGAAGAAATGGAAGAAGGAAGAATGGGGCTGACTGGGAGTGATTCCTGAGAAGCTCAGAGCAAGGCCTGAGCAGTGCACAGAGTAGATCAAACCACCCCTCTCCCTCCCCCAGCCCTCCAAAAAAAGAGGAAAAGGAGGGAGGGAAAGGGGCTGGAGCGATAGCACAGCTGGTAGGGCGTTTGCCTTGCATGCAGCCGACCTGGGTTCGATTCCCAGCATCCCATATAGTCCCCCGAGCACCGCCAAGGGGTAATTCCTGAGTGCAGAGCCAGGGGGGATCCCTGTGCCGGGTTGGTGGCCAGGCTCTGAGCAAATCCGATCCCCAGGTGTCATTGAGATCCGTTCCATCCGTGTGGGCGTCGTGGCGCTCAAGGCAATACACACGGGCTTCTACGTGGCCATGAATCGCCGTGGCCGCCTCTATGGTTCGGTGAGTGTGTGGACCGGGTCTGGCTCAGGGAGGGGAAGGGGGAAAGCTTGTCAGTGGGTGTGGGCAGACAAGTGGGCGGAGTCAGGCCCTGAGCTCAGGTGGAGGGCGCCGTGGGCGTGGCCAGGCAAGTGGGCGGAGTCAGGCCCTGAGCTCAGGTGGAGGGCGCTGTGAGCGTGGCCAGTTAGGTGGTCGGGGTTGCATGGATCCCCGGCCTGACAACCCCACGTCCCCCTGCTCCACCACCCAGCCAGTCTACACTGCGCACTGCAGGTTTCGAGAACGCATCGAGGAGAACGGCTTCAACACCTATGCCTCGCTCCGCTGGCGCCGCCACGGCCGGCCCATGTTCCTGGCGCTGGACGGGCGCGGGGCTCCCCGGCGTGGAGGCCGGACCCGCAGGCACCACTTGTCCACCCACTTCTTGCCTGTCCTGGTCTCCTGAGACCCCCGGGGGCCGCCAGGATTCGGAAGCCACCGTGCTGGGGCCAGTTCACCTCACAACCGGGACCCTGGGGGAACCCCGCTGGGAGCTGAGGTCAGAGGAGGCAGGGTCAGGGACTGAGACCAGCACCCCAAGGTCTAGCTAGTGTGGCCTGCCAGACCCAGCCAAGGCCAAGAGCAGGGAGGTGGGAACCCACTGGGGTGTTTTGAGGCGACCATGGGGTCTCTAAAGAGCTTGGAAGGCTGGGAGAGGTGAAGTGGGGGTGACAGGTGCTCATCACGTGTTCCATGCCAAGGACGGAGACCCCCAAATGGGTAGGGACCCAGATCACTCCTCCCCAGCTTCAGCTGCACCAGAGAGAAGCTACAGGCTGGGAGGCTGGAGAAGCTCAGAAGAGGGGAGCACTAGTGCAGTGGGAGGGCGTTTGCCTTGCATGCCGCTGATGGCGGTTTGATCCGTGGCACATCATTGGGTCCCCTGAGCAGCGCCAGGAATGATCCCCAAGGGCAGAGCTGGGAGTAAGCCTTGAGCATCGACAGGTGTTGGCCCCAGAACTAATTCAAAACACTCAGAAGAGCTGGAGGTTCCCTGGTTCTCCCGCCAGGAGCTGCCCACGTGAGAAGAGACTCAGCTGAAGCCTTTGAGCTGTGGGTGCCAGAGCATGGCAGCCTGCCACGGGCCTCCGGAGCAAACACCTGCCTGGCAGGAGTGGGTGGCACATGGAGGTTGGGGTGTCCCAGATGGGAGGGGCATCCTCTCGGCTAGCACCGGGGGTGTTCCCCACAGTGAGGCAGGCAACCCCTGTGCCACTAGGTCTGGGTCTAAAGCAGGTACACGGCTCTGGGGGTACCCCGTGCCCCACACAGTAGTACCTGCTCTGCCTGGCTGGCTCCTTGGTGGATGTACTGTCCAGGTGTTGAGTCACCAGCTTCATCTCTGTAAGTGCCACCCTGAGGGCCGGCCGGCTGCCCACGGGCACCCCCATGCACACGGCACAGAAAAAAGACGCCAAGCACACTGCTTTCTAAGTAGGTGTATTTTTAAATAGCTTTTGAGATACAGATTTTTTTCTTCCTTTAAAAAAAAAAAAAACATCTGTGTCGAGCAGTTTTTTGTTCTGGTTTTGCTGGTCATCTTTCTGGTCCCGGCCCCTTTCGCTGGGGGCTCGCCGCTGGCCAGCGGGGCGGGAACACGGGGCCGGCCGGGGGTGCCGGGAGCTGGCAAGCGCCTCTCCCCCACAGATCATGCACGCGCGTGTGAGCGAAACGTCCATTTATTTCAAAGCGGTAATAATTTAAAATTATAAAAACCTTTCCGCTGTTGAACAGATGGAAGAAGAGGTTGGACAATCAGGACCGAGGCGGCGCCGGGGCGGGGGGAGCCCTGGGCCGGGGTGAGGCCCACCAGCTGAGCCCGGGGGGGCGCTCGCCTTCCATCCCGGGGGGGTGGCGGGACCTCCAACTTCTGCCCTCAGCCGTGGGGGCGGTGGGGCCCGCCAACGAGGGGGGAGGGGGGCGGGGGCCCCAATGGTATGGGGGCCGCGGGCGGGCAGCCAGGCCCCCCCCACCCCCGACTGAGCTGGGCAGACACTCTGGGCCGCGCGGGGGAGGGGGGGGGCAGGCTCAGGAGCTGCCCGCTGGGTTCTCGTTGCTGGGGGACGAGGAGGAAGACGAGGAAGACGAGGACGGGAAGCTGACTCCGGTCAGGCCCGGGGGGTTGGTGGCCGTGTTCTGGCCGGTGAGGCTCTTCCGGCAGACGGGGCAGCTGTCATGCTGGGTGGGAGACGGGGGAGGGGGTTCAGGGCGGGCGGGAAGGTGGGCCGGGGCTGGGGGGGGGCTGCCCGGCCCCCGCCGCCCCGCTCACCTGCTCCAGCCAGGGCACGATGCAGCCGTCGTGGAAGAGGTGGTTGCAGGGCAGCTGCCGGACGCGCTCCCCCAGCGCGTAGTCGTCCTTGCACACGGGACACTCCAGGCCCGAGCCTGCGGGACAGCCGCTCAGCGCCGCGCCCCCGCGCCCACCCCCCAGCCCACCCCACCGCACCCCCGTGGGGCGGGGGCTCACCTACGTGCTCCTCGGAGACCTGGATGGTGGGGAGGGCCTGGATCTTCTCTTTGTCGGCTGGCGGGGGGCCCGTGTTCTCAAACTGATTGAGGAGCTGAAAGACAGGGGGGCCAGAGTGCCCGTCGCCTGCAAAAGCCCCAAGGCCACGCTTGTTGGGCTCCCGGGACGCCCCCCGGGGCTCCCAGGTCAGCGCCCCCCACCCCCGCCAGGACCCACCCCCGCCAGGGCGCGGGAGTGAGAGGGGGCAGACGGGTACCCCAGCTCAGCATCACGGGTCTCCTCCCCTCCACCGCGCCCCCCAAACTCAGCCCCCCAGGAGGCCCCGTACCTGTGTGATGATGGCGTCGAGGCCATTGGCGCCCCAGGCATAGTCCATGGGGTTCGAGTGCAGGACGCCCCTGGGCAGAGAGGGCCGAGTTCAAGTGGTGGCGGAACAAGGGGGGGCGTGGGGCCCACCCCCCACTACTCACCAGGGGCCCAGGCCCAGGTTGGGGATGGTGGCAGGGGTGATGATGCCGTTCACCAGCTGCTGGATAATTCTGGAACGGAGAGTGGGGGGGGGACGACCCACGGTCACGGGGCGGCTCAGGGTCTCGGGTCCCGACACCCATCCCCAGATGAGGGGACCCTCGGCGGGCGGGCCCTCACCCTTCCAGCGTGGGGACGCCCTCGTGGCGGCCAGTGGCCCGGCGCGCGGTGAGGCGGGCGCGGGGCTGCCGGGCGCCGTAGCGATGCCGCGAGTGCTGCTCCCGCTCCCGCCGGTTTTCGGGGTCCCGGCCATCGTCGGCCTGCGGCCCGGGGGGGAAGGTGGGGATCTCAAAGCTGTCATCAAAAATGCCGAAAGCAAACTGGCCGTAGCCCCGCGGCAGCGTGAACAGGTGCTGGTCCACATTCTGCGGGGAGAGAGCAGAGGGGAGGGTGGCCGCGCCCAGGGTGGGGGGCACCGGGGCGGTGGGCGGGCGGGGGGACAGGTCCAGGCCCACTCACTTACCTCGAAAGGCTGCCTGCTCTGCTCCGGGGGGGCTGTGGAGGGGGCCGAACCGTTCTCTGTGCTCCTGTAGGGACACATTGGGGCTGGTCAGCCTCGAGGCGGCCCCAGGACCCGGGCACCCCCTGCCCTGAGCGCAGTGCCCGCGAGCCTGGCACCTGGTCTCTTCCGGAAGCTCCTCGATGAAGCCAGACTCGCACCGCGGGCAGATGTAGTCCTGTGGGAGGGGGAGGGCCGTGAGCTGGATCTCGGGGGGGAGGGGGGTGCTGAACCCCACGGGGCCCCCTGCGCGGGCTGCACCAGCCACGGCGGAATGGGCAGTGTGGACGTTTCAAGCTTGGGCCAGGCTGAGGGCCCCGTTCCCACCCCCCCGCCCCCCAACTCCAGGACTGCCCCAGCCCAAGGGAGTCCCTCCCCAACCTAGCCACAGGCTCTAGGCACCCCCAAACATGGGCCTAAGGGGGCTACAGAGAGCCCAAAAGGATGAGCTGGGGAGCTGGAGTGATAGCATGGCGGGGAGGGCGTTTGCCTTGCACGCAGCCAGACCCGGGTTCGATTCCCAGCATCCCACAGGGTCCCCTGAGCAATACCAGGAGTAATTCCTGAGTGCGTGAGCCAGGAGTAACCCCTGTGCATCGCCAGGTGTGACCCAAAAGGCAAAAAAAGGATGGATGAGAAGGGGGCTTTGGGCCCCCTGAAGCGTACAAGCACCCTGGTGACCCCTCAAATTAGTCAGGTGGCCCCAAGCCATGTGGGGAAACAGGGAAGACGAGGGGTACAGAGTGGGCGATTCCAGGGCATAAGCAGGTGGAGGGGACCTAGGGGCGGCCGAACGACACGCCCTGCTCACCCCCTGCCCACACTGCCGGAAGCTGAGGCCAGAGCCCCCAGGTCACGGGGCCCGGATCACATGGCAGCCCCGACCCACAGACCCACGACCTGCCTTCAATAAAGACAGGCGCCCGCTCAATGGCTCCTGCTGGGAGGACACAGTGCCCACCACGGGGGGTGACAAGGTAGAGCAAGACCCCTGCCCGACAGGCAGACGACGGGGGGGGGGGGGGGGGGGGGGAAGAGGGGGAGTGACGAGACCTGCGTTTTCTCAGCACCAACACCTGCAACCAGGAGCGCGCCCCGGACAATCCGACCCCCACAGCCACCCCAGCCCTGCAGCCGCACGGGCAGACACACCCCTAGCACCCCCCATGGGCCCTCGGTACCCAGCGGATGCCCCCCAGCCCTGGAACCCAGGACGCTCAAGGAAAAGCACCCGCCCCCCAAGGCAGGCTGGATCCTGGAATGGAAACCCCCAGTACAGGCCCCTTCCTGAGAGGAACGGGGCAGTGAAGATGGACACCGCCCCTGGAAAGTTCTAGGACCGGGAAAAGGTGGCACCGCCATAAGCATCGCATCAACAGTCATGAGAGTCGCACCTCTGCCTGGCACGCGCAGTCTGACTACGAAACAAACACCAGTGACCCCGTCTCTCCCCCAGAGAGGCTGCCACCCCGAGCTCCAGAGGCATGAGGTCTTGGGGGAGCCCCTCTGGATGCCAGGGACTCCCCATCCCCCACCCCCACCCCCCACACTGCAGAAGCCAGTTGAGTCTCCGGGCAGCCCCCTGGCAGGCAGGCCAGGCCGGAGGAGGCGTCTCAGCTCCGAGGCCCCCAGCACCCCGGCCACGCGTGTGTGGAGGGACCAAGGGCAGGCTGGCGCGGACGTGGCCTTGGCGGGCACCCCGTGTCCCACTGCGGCTCTGGAAGCTCGCATGGGGCGCAACCTGCTCCCTCACGGCGCCCCTGGCTCGCACAGGGCCCCACCGGGCCCCACCGCCGGGGAGCTTCGCCGCACGCCCCCTCCCCATAGCTACCTGGCTCGCCCCTCGCAGAAGTCGGCTCTCTGCTCAAACGTCACCTCCCGGCCGCCAGCCTCGGTTTCCCCACCTGTAAATGGAGGATGGCCTCAACGCTGGGGCCCTGAGGCTGGCACTGCCTAGGCCCGCCCACCACTCGGGAGGCCCAACCCCTGAAAACTAATCACACCCCCCAGGAGGGAGAGGCGCACCCTGGGGCTTGGCCACTAGGCTCACCAGAGCACCTGGGTGGGCAGCT